GGGACGGTTGTACGTGGTTGTGTCAGGGGACGGTTGTACGTGGTTGTGTCAGCGGTTGTGTCAGGGGACGGTTGTACGTGGTGTGTGTCAGGGGATGGTTGTGTCAGGGGACAGTTGTACATGGTTGTGTCAGCAGTTGTGTCAGGGGACGGTTGTACATGGTGTGTGTCAGGGGACGGTTGTACGTGGTTGTGTCAGGGGACGGTTGTACGTGGTTGTGTCAGGGGACGGTTGTACGTGGTTGTATCAGGGGACGGTTGTACGTGGTTGTGTCAGGGGACGGTTGTACGTGGTGTGTGTCAGGGGACGGTTGTACGTGGTGTGTGTCAGGGGACGGTTGTGTCAGGGGACGGTTGTACGTGGTGTGTGTCAGGGGACGGTTGTACGTGGTGTGTGTCAGGGGACGGTTGTACCTGACCAACACAGGGGGAACAATCACACTTGTCACCGCTCACAAGTGCTTCAGCAGCTCACCGTCTCCACCTCGCACCGGTCACCGCTCACAGAACGCCCCAATACCTACAGCGTTCCCCTACAGCTTTCACTGATGATAGTTGAGATTACCTAAAGCTTTCACGGAGTGAGCAAAGATGATAGTTGAGATTACCTAAAGCTTTCATGGAGTGAGCAAAGATGATAGTTGAGATTACCTAAAGCTTTCACGGAGTGAGCAAAGATGATAGTTGAGATTACCTAAAGCTTTCATGGAGTGAGCAAAGATGCGATTACTGAAGGAAGACCTGTGCGTAGTTCATTTATTCTAAACGGTAGATGATGATTTCACCTGTGAACAAAGATTAACAGGGACAATGAATGACAGAGCTAGGACATAACAGAATAGTGGGTACAGCACAGAACGTACAGAGCACATGACATAACATCATATAACGCATAACCATACAATTACCTAAAGCTTTGACGGAGTGAGCAAAGATGATGATGTCATCGCGGGGTCCCTTGTAGTCGGGCGGGGGCGGGCTGTAGGCGAGGTGGGAGGATAGCGGGTGTCTCAGGTCCACCAGGAGCGCGGTGTGCACCATCGGGACGGGGAATGTACCGGTCATCTCCCGCTCCACGATCTGCATGTAGTTGTTGGCCCGCATGTAGTACCCCTAGGGAGGACACAGGACCACTCAGGATTTGATCCTTTTCTTTTTCTCCCTGCCTAGCAACCAGCTGACCTACTTTTTATTTTGTGTTGTGCTACACTCAGCCTAGAGAGAAGGAAGAACACAGCTCAGCCTAGAGAGAAGGAAGAACACAGCTCAGCCTAGAGAGAAGGAAGAACACAGCTCAGCCTAGAGAGAAGGA